AAGTACGCACAATCCTCATGATTTTACGAGCTAGTCAGACACTAAGCCCTAAATCCTGAACCCTGACCGTCTTCCGTCCCTCAACTTTGAAGGCCTGAGGGTTAGGGACCTACAAGATATATATATATATATATATATATAGGGTTTAGGGTTTATAATAGGAGATAACCAAAACTACCCTCATCCGCGCCACAAGGCTCGGTCCGCCTTCACGATAGGATTGTCCGGCTCAGAGGCTTTTGTCTTCGCCTCCCATGAAGGCGAATCCAGAGAGGTGCTAGGCTGCTACTGTTCTTGACTTGAAGGATCTTATCGGGTGTTACTCTTGCATTCGCATGTTTTCATAGTTCCAAAGGCGCCATTTCCCGTTCTTCAGAGGTCTAGCGTCGTTCTCCCTATACATTTGCAGCAAACCGCAAGTCTGACTGACGATGCCCTAAGTATTTATTTGAGAACGGCAACGAAGCAGATTCATGCCTTTCCATGCCCTCCTGTTTTGGCGGACCATCAGCAACAAACTTGCCGCGTTGTCACTGCATTGTGCATCTCCCACATCAGGTCTCAGCAGTCCAACAGCCGCAGATTGTATATCTTATGACGCCCCGAATCCCAGCAAATGCCAGGTCAAGAGAATCTACAAGAGTATACAGTGCCCCACATGGGCTGGAGCAAATCTATGGGCTTTCCAAACTGATGTTACGGTCTCCGCGCTTGGAGCAGAGACCGTCAGCCAGGAGAGCTCGGGATCCTCTTCCTCCAATCCTCACCTTCGCGACCTTTCTTTCGACACATCTCCGCTGTGGGTCACAGATCACCGCGTAAGGTGCCCCAGCCCAAGTATTCGAGACACATTCGATATTAGCCTAGGATGTCCAGCATCTGTTGGAGTATCGGTTCCCGATCTTCGAGTCCAGCAACCCAGGAAATCGTGACTGCGGCAGTGCCGGCCTGAATCTGATCCACCAGGATCGTCGCCCCGGCAACCTCAAAGATGGAAGAAAGGTCCTCCGGCACGGCCTGGTTGGAGTCGCGGAGTGCGGCCTTGAGAGCCTCGCAGGGCAAGCGGCCCTTCTGACGGATCAGGATGCGCCGCGCCTTCGCTTTCGCCCTGGCACTGGGCCCCTGGGCCGCGTGGAGCTCCAGGGCTCCGCGGTCTCTCTTTCGCAGCTCCCCCCTGAAAGTCGTGACCACGGGCGCCTTCGCATGGATGAGGGGCACCCCCAGAACTGGCGGCGGGGGGACCGGTTCGCTCTGGGCCATCAGTAAGGAGCTGGCCCAGGCCTCCAGAACTGCGGGGCTGGGGATCTCCACGTGGTCGCCGACTGCGGGCATGTGGCACGGAAGTCGCAACCTCTTTTGCACGATGGCCCTGAAGGTGTCCATCAGCTGCAGGCCACCGTGCACCAAGACCACCTGTCTTGGTGCGACCTGGCTAATGAGTTCCACGATGCCCCGTGAGTCTGTGTGGTCAGAAATGGAAAAGTGGTCCACTTCGCAGCGGACCTGGACGATGCCACTAGACAGCTCGATCTTCTTCTCTTTGGCTTGAACGAGGTTGCCCACGGTGCCGGGCAGGCAGTAGCCGGGTATTACGATGAGATTCCGCTTCTCGGGTGCCCAAGACTTGAACAACTCCTGTGATGGACCGAAATCCAACATAGCCGAGCCTGCCAAAGCCACTGCCGGCCCAGACAGGGCGAGGAGCTCACTGAGTGTCCCAAACCGCACGTGGGGAAAGGCAAAGGGCCTGTCGGTGGATCGGACCCGCTTGCTTCCCCACGAGGCAAAGGTTTGAAAGAAGACCCTGGCCTTCTGAGCCATGGTGCTGATAACGAAAATGGGATATGCCAGCTTGGCCTTGGCCCAATGCTCTTCCAAGATCATACAGATCTCAGTGCTGCGGCCCATGACCAGCAAAGGAACGAGGACCTTGCCACCCTTCTCCAGGCAGTCTTGGACCTTGCTACAGAGGTCGTTCACCTCCCGTCGCTTGGAAGAGCGGATCGTCGTGCAGCAAGTTGTCTCCGTGATCATCACGTCCGGGTGGAGCGCGAGAGGGGCTCGAGCAGCACTCAAGTGGTAGTCTGGCACCATGGTAAAGTCTCCAGTGTACAGGGCGCTCTGCCCTCTGCACTCTAGATGCACCATCACTGCTCCCAGCACATGTCCTGCATAGAAACTGGTCACGGACAGGTCACCGATCTCCACTCGCTCCTGCAGCTGGAAGCACCGCGCCCGATCAAAAGGCGCATCGACCATCTCGGGGGTAAGGCCCTCGGCATCCCGCCTGAAGGACAAGGCATCCTTGATGATGATGGGGCCAATCGCACGAGTGGGGTGCGTCATCAAGATGGGCCCGTGGTAGCCCAGAATTTCCGTGAGATAGGGCAGGGCTCCTACATGATCGAGATGAAAGTGCGTGATGATCACCACATCCAAACTCTGCACCTCCCCCAGCAGCGAGAACTCCGGGTAGTAGGAGCCACTCGAATGAGCTGCCACTCCGCAGTCCAAGAGCACATTCCGGCCTCCAATCTCGAGCAGGATGCAACTTCGGCCAACCTGCTGTGCTGCACCCAGGGGCGTCACCCTAAGCGCCATGAGAAAAGCTCGTGTCTAGTCTAGGGTTTGGACCGGAGAGGTTCATATGCCCCACAATCCCAGGGAACCGCCCAAATGGTACATCTTGCCATCCAGCTGAACCCAATGGCAGCGTCGAGCGTTTGATCATGCCAACTCAGCCAACCGCAAATCGCACATCTCTGCACGCCTCACATCCCGACAAACCGACGGCAACAAATAAACAGTTTGCTAGTCCCAAAAACCGCTCCTCATCTCAGCAAAGCCAAGCAAGGTCAACCATCGTGCATTTGATCACGGTGAACATCCAAACGAACAAATAGTAAAACATCGACATCCTATGTACTCTGTCGATCTCTGTCGCACGTCCCAGCCAACACAAACCGATCATCTGCGAACGTTACCCGGCTCTCTCAGCTCACAAAGCCACAGAGCCCGAGCGCTCAAAAGGCCAGCAGGTCGAAGCCTAAGCCACTGAACAGCCCGGGTGCGAATAAACAAAGTGGCGAAACTCGAGAAGGGAGCCGGGTAACATGAAAGAACACAACCGTTAGCACAACTCCGGAAATAGCAGCGTCGCACTCCACTTAAGCACGCCGCCCCAAACCCTCTTGAAATTCTTCAGGCCCCGCAACGTCGAACCCCAAAGCTTGTGTGAAACCTCGAAGGGCTCAAGATCTTCACCCCTTCGCTCCTGGTGACAAGCCTAACAGCGCGACATATAAATGCTGAGAATGAGGGGAGAAACGAGAAGAAATGCTGACAAGCGTGGCTACGCGCGAGGAGTATCAGGAAGCGGATTCGGGAAGCAAAAAGGCGAAGTCGGGAAACGACAGCCCGAATTCGGGACATCGGATTCGGAGAATGGTCTTTCGGATTTCGGGAAATGGCCGGACGAATTCGGGGGAGAAAAGACCCGAGAATCGAAAACAGGAGTCGAAGGAGGGAAAACGGGACTCGGAGAACGGAAAAGCGCTTCGGAGAAAGGTTAAGGCGAGTTCGGAGACTGGAAAGCCTGTTTCACAAAACGAAGAAGCTGATTCTGAAAGAACCGAAATATCCGAGAAAAGATCAACCCGGCATCGCGACCCAACCAGCCCAACCGACCCGACGCGACCAACCCGCCCAGCCGGCGACCCACACGACATGACCGACCCTAGGCTCTCGCCCATCTTTGCGGCCATCTCCAGCTTTCATATGCACCTTCCGATCAACTTTGACCAGCTACAGAAAGCACAGCTTCAAAATGCCCACGACAGTTTTAGACCTAGCTTAGTCTTAAACCCTTAAAGTCTTCATTCAGGGGTCTGCGCACCAGGCATGACAACCGCAAGAAGACGTCATGGAGTACGCGTGAGGCACATTTTCAAAAGCCTCATGCCCTATCATGCCGCAAACAAGATCCACCTCCCCATCCACGATGAGCACCAGGCCAGCTTGCCCACTTCTCCACTCAGCCTGGCGGCAGAAACGAGCCCCGGCCGCCTCTGAGTCGTGCATCTCTCAGCGTGGTCTACTGTCTCGACCATACTCGTGTGGATAGGCAACATCGCTGGATGCAAGCCGCACGCTACAGCCCATCCAGGAGCTCCAAGCCCGCGCAAGTCTGGAAAGTTCAAGACAAGGCGAGACTGCAGCTGTTGGTCCGTGAAGTTGGCAGAGCTGAAAGGCGTTTACTGAAAGCACTCAGACGGGTAAGGTGAATTCTTTACATATGTTTCTCAAAGTCAGGTGCGACAAGCTTCATTCAAGGCTTCTCATGTCACGCAGCTGTGACCCCGCCTGCAGCCCTTGTCTTATGCTCGATGTGTACTCAGGGAGATCGAACCATGTATACATTCTACACGTGCGGTGGGCCTCAGGGGGTTTGTGGTTTAGGGTTTGCGTGGGGCTCAGCACTTGGGGGCTCAGGGCTTAAGGAGTCTGGGTTTAACGGTTAGTTAAGGGGCCTCGGGTTCGAAGTCGTAGCCCCAAGGGCGACAGATTTTGAGTTGTCGAGGTCCGGAGCTAGAATTTCGAGCAAGATACTGTAGAAACCACACGGTTCGCATGGAAGCAAGAGGTGGCTTCAGCTTGAGCATATCTGCGTATCGGGTCGGCCAAAAGGCCTGTCTGCTCCTGCCCTACATGAAAACTCTGACATGTCAAGCGACCAGTTGCTGAGCTGCCCTCGTTAAGGCGCAGGCTTTGAAGGTCAAGCATCTGCCGGCCGGAACACAGCTGCCGCTTCTGCGCCCACCACTGAACCCTGAACCTGCCCAGAAATCACGCGATGTCAGAAACACTGCAAGCTGCACAAATTGCCAAAAGCAATGTGGCAATAACCCGGCTTCGGCTTCAGCCAATCTAAGACGACATGCAAGCCTGCGTAACCTGATGCCGACTCTTCAACAACTTCGATGTCTTAAGCTCACGGCCAGCAAACCCGAAGGCATAACATGAGCAGCCTTAATTTTCATCGCTGTGCAGTTGTAGCTGGGTTTCAGACTGCTGCGGATATCAGCGAACGTTGGAGACTGTCATATCAAGAACCGAAAAAAAAATCAGCATTGCACCTCACCTCGGTTTCGTTCGTGAGGCCCGTCTGTCCCCTTACGATGTGCCAGGCTCGCTGAAGCAGGGTCCCCTCTTAGCTTGAGGAACCCGCAAGACATGGTATTGCGTGTCTGGGAACAGGTTTCCAAACAGCTAAAGAACAAGAATGTGCCTGCTTTGCGTACGTTATAAACGCCTGTTCAAATACCGAAGTACGGCTCAGTTGTGGGAAAATTCAGATTTCCTGCGAAAAGACACAAAGAACTGTCTGGTAGCACCTCTAGGCTACACTTATAACAAGTTCCGAAAAGCCGAAGCCCCAAACCCCAAGCCCTGACACCCAAAGCCCAAAACCTGAAACCCCATAGGCGACGTCGCCTTAAGATGGCCCATCAGCAACTCTTTCTGGCCTTTCTCCGCATTCACAAACCCCACGATCTGCTTGGTGAACTTGTCCCGAGCCACCTCAAGGTTCGAGCAGGCTCTGGTCGAGCGAGCTACTCCGGAAATCATCCCACCCACCCAAGAATCCAGTAACATGAAGGAGAATGTGTAAATTTCTTCTCTATTGCAGTACTATATCCAAACTAGTCGGTTCAAGTAAAAGCCTCAGCGGAACCTGACGCCGAAACCCTAAGACAAAAACATCTTAGCGTGGATTGTCGCCCGCTGCGCAAACTGACACTGCAAACTGCCAAGCCTATCAGCGATGTGAAACACCTGATAACCAATGAAACGTTAACTTGCGTGGTCAGCACAAGCAAAATGTTTTCGGTACGGTTGCGGCAACTTGTTCGGTATGAACACGATTAAAAAGTAGGCGCTAAGAGGGCAGGCTCACTGCTCTTGCACCGCGACTACGCTGTAAGCACTTTCGGTCGCCGGCATTTATGAAAACAAACGTAAGCTCCCTGCACCACGCGGTCCATGAGCCGGTGCATCTGGCGAGGAGACCACAAACATCTCTCCAGGTCCCCCAACAGCCTCAACTTGGGTTGGCTTTCATACTCCTGAACGCCCCTCGCCGACGGCAAATGGCACTTGGCTCCCTGCTCGATTTCTCATTTCCCTTGCCACCAGTCACTGGAATCGCCTCCAGTCCCGGCGAGCCGATACTGGCGGTACCAACTTCTGGTGTCCTTACAGTTTACAAAGTCTACAGTGCAAACATACAAAACTTGAGTGTGGATGTCGGCCTTACAAACTCATAGGGTCCATAAAGTTTACAAAGTCTGCAATTCAATACAGACATACAACAAACTTGAGGGTGGACGTCGGCGGTACAAACTTATAGTGTCCTTGAAGTTTACAAAACTTACGCATCATACAAAGATGCAAAACTTCAGGGTGGCCGCTGGTGCCCTCACAGTTACAAAGTCTACAACACAAAGACACAAGATTGAAGGGTGGACGTAGCCATTACAAACTTACGCTGGGCTTAAAGTTTGCAAAATCAGCAACACAAAGATACAAAAAATACGGGTGGACGTTGGCGTTACAAACTTTTTATATTTTATGTCCTTCCTGTATACAAAGTCTACACAACAGATATACACAAAATGAAGGGTGGACGTTGGCGATACAAACTTATAGTGTCCTTAAAGCTTACAAAGCGAACAACACGAAAGCACACATAAATAAGAGTGAGCGTCGGCTGTACAAACTTGTAGTGTCACTCGAGTTTACAAAGTTTATAGTACGAGTACGGAAACACAAAAATTGAGGGTGGAGGTTGACGTTACAAACTTATAGTGTCCTAAAGTTGAAAAGTCTACAATACGAAGAGTTGGCGTTACAGACTCCTACAAGTAGTGCCCTGAAAAGCTTACACAGCCTACAACACAAGGATACAACAGTTCAAAGGCGGACATTGGCGGTACCAACTTATAGTGCCCTATAAAGTTTACATATCTACAGTGCAAAGATACAAGACTTTAAGGCTGGACCTTGGCGCTATATAGTGTCCAAAAAAGCTCGCTGGCTGCCGAGCCCCGCCAGATCCCGCCAGCCTCGATCGTCCTCGCAAACCAACCTCGGCTTCCGAGAAGCAGAGAGACCGAGCGGGATATCGAGAGAGACCGAGGGGCAGCTACAGATTCTTTTCAGTTCCGTACACAGAGTCTGTCTTCTCCAAATTCTTGCATTTCATTGGTGTTCGCGCCTTCTGCCGTTGCATCCGTTCCATGTATGTGATTCCGAGAAGCACGCGCAAGTGCATGTGCAGACGACGAAGCTCCCAATCATAACATATGACGAAGAACCCCAAAAACAAAGTCATGGAACAATCGACATAATGCTTGAGAACAATCTGTTCTCGTCTTTCCTGCTTAGAAGCTGGAAAGCTGGCGCCGCGGGTGCAATTCGAGGCGCCACAAAGGAGCAGTGCCGCGATCCTCGGCGAGTCCTTCGGAACATGGCTGCTAAACATCAACCAAGCAATGTCTATTCAAGAAAATCTCTAGAACGAAGAGGCAATTGCGATTCCT